CACCCGCAAGCAAGAGTTTGTTTCGGTTTAATCTTGCACCCGTAAGCAAGAGATTTCTAGTGGATTGAACTCTCGAGCAAGGAGGCTTGGGGAGTTGACGTACTCCGGGTTGGAAGAACCACTATAAATCATGGCTTCATATTCTCTTGCCTTTCTTTTTATTTTTCTGCACTTTATTTGCAAGATTGCAGTTGATCTCTATTTTATTTTGCACAACAGGTTATACATATATATTGAAAACTTAATTCACATTTGTATAAAGGAAAAGAAATGAGTTTTATATTTTAGGAATTGAGGGGTAGCTAGCTGGGATTACACAAACATCAACCTCCTTGCAATTTAGCAAGACATATAGTTCAGCTGCATCTTTCTCCTCCAATGTTAAACATCGTGTACATGAGTGGGCACCTATTAATTCACCAGGGTAACAAAATACAGATAACTTACCTGGGATGTTGGTTCCAATGCCACCATATTTCCTTGGAGGCTGATTCCAACTTTTCTCAACATCATCCCCAAAATAACGAGAGCAGAAGTGGGATATCTCGTATGATATAAATGCCTCGACATGATTTTTATTCCCTATAGTACTCTTAAGTTTGCGCATGCACCTGAAAAGAGATACTAATAAGATTAATTTTAAAAAAAGTAATAAAGTTTTAAAATTATCAATTTCTTTATATATTTTACCTTTCAAATGGGTACATCCAATGAAATTGAACAGAACCACCAACTCTGGCCTCATATGGAAGATGAATTGGTAGATGTTCCATAGAATCAAAGAATGCTGGGGGGAATATTATTTCTAACTTACAAATTATTTCAACAATCTTTGCCTCCCACTTTTGCATCTCAGTAACTTTAATGACCAGGGAATAAAGTGAACGAAAGAAGTTACTAATGTTAGTCAAAGGACCCCAAATAGCAGATGGCAATAAACCGAGAAAAGCAATTGGAATTAGTCATTGCATGAAAACATGACAATCATGACTTTTCATCCCAAATAACCTAGACTCATTCAAGTTGACACATCTTGATATGTTGGAAGCAAGCCCATCTGGAAAGCGCAACTGTTTTAGCCATGCACATAGAAGCTTTTGTTTTTCGGATGTCAGTGCATAACTAGCATTAGGTTTCACAAGCTTACCATGCATATTATATCCCATGTGCAGTTTTCTTCGGTCACAATAAGTAGTTAAATCCAATCTTGCTTTTCTATTGTCTTTTGTCTTATTGTCATTCATAACAGTGTGTATTATATTATCAAAGAAATTGTCCTCACAGTACATTACAGCAAGATTATGTTGAATAAGATTATCATGCCAATAAGGAAGTTCCCAAAAAATGCACATTTTTACCCAATTATGGATGTTCCCAAAACCCTCAATTGTTTGGTTTTCAAAGGGTTTCCCAAACAACACATTAGGAAGGTTTTCAACTCAATGATGCATTGAAACACCATCCAATCGAGGAGGAGAACTACCTAATTCAACCCAACCCTTCAAGAAATTACTCTGATCAAATCTAAAAGAATGTGATTCCGGTAAATACTGACAATGACAATAAAAAAAACATGGTTTCCAACCATTTTGAAGATGAAAAGATCGTGTCATCTCCATACAGTAAAGACATGACAATCGGCTATGAGTGCTCCAACCAGCCACTATACCATAACCCGAAAAATCAGTTATGGTCCACATCAACATAGCCCGCATTATGAAGTTTTGCTTATAATAACTATCATATGTTTCTACACCATTCGACCATAACATTTTCAAGGCTTCAATTAAAGGTCAAAGGAAAACATTGATATTTTTACCTGGCCTTTTTGGACCTGCAAGGACCAATGTAAGAAAAGTAAATTCTGGTCTCATGCACATCTCCGGCAACAAATTATAAACAATCAAAAAAACTGGCTAACAAGAGTAGGAGGTTGAAGAATGAGCCCATGGGTTGAAACCATCAGTAGCAAGACCTTATCAAACATTACGAGATTCTCTTTCAAAAGAAGGATGCATTTGATCAAAATGTCTCCATGCTTCTGATTGTGCTGGGTGAATGACCTCATCCGTATCACCACAGCATTTCAAATGCCATGTCATGTGCTCAGCTATTTTTCGAGAAATATATAGCCTCTGAAAGTGAGGTATTATTGGCAAGTACCAAAGAGAACTCCTTGGAATGTCTTTTTGTCTTTTCCTCCTTGGATTTCTCTATTTATACCTCGCTTCTCCACAAATTGGCCATGTAATCAATGTTTTCGTGTGCTCCCCATAGTATAAAAAGCAATTGTTAACACAAGCATCAATTTTTAGATAACCTAACCCAAGCCCTTTCATATATTTTTTTACTTTATAAAAGTTTGCAAGAATTTTTTCTGATCTTCAGTACTTAACAACTTCCTACATCCTTTAAGAATGGCATTAAAACCATTAGCAGTTATATTATTTGCAGTCTTTGTATGCAACATATAAGAGAGCTAGCTAAGCACTGTCTCATTTCTTTTAGAACTACCAAGTGGAATTGTAGATGCATGAAGCAAGTCATAAAATGCCTTTGCTTGATTGTTTGGTTCCTCATCCAAATGTTGATTAGGGAAATTACCTTCCATTTCTCGATTATCATTATCCTCTGGACAAAATGCACCATACACCATTTCACGAAAGTCATTCCTTTCATCATGGTGTGTATCTTGGCTGTGTGATGAATTTCCCAGATTAGTAGCAGACCATGGATTGGTTGAATTCACAAATGTCTCACCATGTGCCCACCAAACAGAATAAGCATTCATAAAACCATACTTAGTAATATGGTCCCATACCATTCCCTGAGTCATCAACGGTAAATTAAAGCATTTAATACAAGGACATCTGATTAAATCATTCGGTTGAAGACCAAGGCTATTGTATGCAAATTCAAGGAAATATTCAACTCCATTATAGAACTCATTATATATCTCTCCTCATGGAGTTCGATGCCTATACATCCAACTACAATCCTCCATAATCTTATTAAATCAATAAAATGAAAATAATAACATGATTACTTTTAAAATAATTATGATATCTTTCACATATTTTATAGTTGATTAAAATCCTAATTTATCATACATATATATATAAATATGTTAAATTTAATCATCAACAAAATTTATCATACACAAATGAATGATTTTTTATTTAATAAAAAAAGTAATATTTAACCATACAATTATAAAAATATAGTGAAAATGAAACTTACTGTATAATTAATGAGGATCCACAAGAGCTCAAGTATTACCCTACAAAATAATTATTAAAATATTAATTTATATATATTTTCAATTAAAAATTTCTTTATATATACCATTATATTATAAAAACTACATTTAAAATTAATATAATACAACTTAAAATAGATATGACAACAAAATAAGACCAATTATTAAATTGCTAAAAAGTTAGGTTGAAATACCAAATTTAGTCCCTAATATTTTAGATTTATATCAAAATTATCCTAAACTTTTAAAATACCGAAACTATCCTTAAACTTTAATATTTAATACCAAAATAGTACTTATCTCAACGAAAAGTGTTACTTGATTCATTATTTTGCCACAAAATCAATTTCTTTTTCAAAAATTAATAAAATCAAATCAAATAATTATATTTTACTATCATAATATATTTTTCTAATTATATTTATAAAGTTGAATAAATAAATTGGTACTTATAATCAAAGTTTTAAGGTCTAAGTCTTCAAATTTTAAGAACTAAATTGTACTGAATAAAAGTTCAAGGATTATTTTGGTTCCAAAAATTAAAGTTTAAGGACATTTTTAGTACTTTTAAAGTTTTAGCATAATTTTGACCTAAATCAGAAAGTTGAGGGACTAACATGGTTATTTAACCAAAAATTTAGATTCTTCAACTTTAAAGTTTACATACTTTTCGTCCCTCAACTTTTTTAATATTTTTTTTAATCCTCAACTATGAAAAATACAATGTTTTATAGTTAATTAAGAGATAAAAAATGCAGAAAATAGTAAGACATGAAAATTTGCATAAACCCTTCAAAACGCACAAAAATCATATATATTCACCCTAAAATACATTCAAAACAACAAATCTCAAAATGCTAGCTAATATCAAATACTTAATATAAAAATTTTGTCATTAATGATTGAAATTTCACTAAAAATTTATTAAAACATTATTCATAACTATTCATCAAATTTATTTAAAAGAAAATCTAATAATATTAACTAATATCTAATGAACTCAATAATGACAATATTTGATGGTTTAAATTTCAAAAGAAATAAAACATACATAAAATATATAGAAAATAATAATATTACTTAAATTTCACTTACCACTGCTTGATCCACTACACTGTAAGAAGAAAAATGTTAAAGTGATTCAAAGGAAAGAATGGAGGAAAGGAGAGTAAGAACAACTCGTGGACAGAAGAGGAAAATGAAAATGAAAGGAGGAAGACCAAAATGAAAGGAGAAGGGCGGTTCGGTAGGCAATAGGGACCCTTATCAACGAGATCCACATTGCTACAACCTAAAGCTGATCATCTTTGCGTTGCCTCAGAATTCTCGTTGACCAGGCCAATCACCAACAAAGGTCTGGTTGGTAAAATGTTTCTTACCGATCCAAACATTGTCGGTAAGCTAAATAAAAGCTACAACACCAAGCGCTAGCAGCTGGATTCGCAAGGAGTTGGGAAATGGGAAATTATCGACAAGGGTGATGTCGAGACATTCGATTAAAAAGCTACACTTCCTGATGCAGGCAGCCAGATTGATAGGATTGGGTTGGGGTGTGGGAAATTATCGACAAGATGAACGTTGGCAAATTAGGTTGGTGTTTACCGAGAAAACTCACATTTCCAAAATGAATTTACAGGCCTCCTCTTCGTTGGTGATTTGGGTTTGGGTCCGCCTCCCGTCGGACTGTATATTGGTTGCGTTTACTGACAAGAAACACATATGTATTATGTTAGTTTACCGACAAATATTTCATTTGAACAATAAATAATATATATTACTGCTATTTCTACTATTTTTGGATTTGCAGACTTATTTCTTGTCGGTAAAATGCTGCTTCATCGAGAAAAATTCTTACGTCGATGATTGTTTGTCGGTGAAGTTGAGTTTTCTAGTAGTGATTTAATATTTTTATTTTAAAAAATAATTATAACATGTACTAAATAAAAATTTTATTTAAATAATACTTAATTAAAAATAAATATAAAATATTTCTAAT